GGTGGTGGAAAATGGGCACTGGTGGAGGGATGGGTATTTGATCATTGCATAATCGAAACCCAAGCACAAAAAATTGTAAATCTACAACTGTACCTCATGGTGTTTCACTAATAATAATAATAAAAAAATAAGAAAATAAAATAAATTATAAAAAAAATTGGTCCTTCCAAGAAATCCTAGGTTTTCTGGAATTTTTTTTTCAGATCAAAGGTATTCAATCTGACCGTGAATCACTTAAAAACTTAATTTGATAAAAATTCAAGACAGGGTCCAAAGCAATAGCACAACAGGTAGGGTGTTTGCCTTGTACACAGCCAACCTAAATTCAATCCCTAGCACCCTGTATAGTCTCTAAGCACCACTGCAAGTAATCCCTTAGCATCACCGATTGTGGCCCCCCAAAAAAAAAAAAATTAAGGTAAATTATTTCTATGCTAGTGAAAATTAAAATTAAATTTTGGATAACATCAACACACATCAATCACAGCACAATTATGATATCGATGCCTTAAAAAGTGACTTCTATGGAAACAAAATATATAGAAAGCTGATAAAAAAATATGATATATACACATACAGCATCAGTTGATAAGAACCCTTGAGCAAAATTTAATGAGCAATTTTACAGAATCACAAAAAACGAACACATTTAATAGCTTGACAGGGCTCAGAAATTAAATCATATTTCTACATCCACAAATAATCTTTCTGAAATGAACTAAGCTAAATTAAGTATTATCTTTGAAAATCAAAAACATGATTTTCATAAAATGTTGACAGGGATCGATAGCACAGCAGTAGGGCGTTCGCCTTGTACGCAGCCGGCCAGCGGAGTCAGGTTCGATTCCTCTGATTCCTCTGCCTCTCTCGGAGAGCCCCACAAGCTACCGAGAGTATCTCGCCCGCACGGCAAAGCCTGGCAAGCTCCTCGTGGCGCATTCGATATGCCAAACACAGTAACAATTGTCACAATGGAGACGTTACTGGGCCCGCTTGAGCAAAGAACAACGGGAGGACAGTGATAGTGACAGTTGACAGGGGTGGTAAGAGAAGGCACATGTTACAATTCTATCCAGTGAAAGTAATCCTGTAATATATCACAAGAAGTTTTGTATCAAAAACTATTTGTATCATATGAATAAAAAACACTCAATCACATTGTGTTCTTCACTTGTCCTAAACTGATTTGAGTTCAAATTAATCAAAACAGATTCTAAAAAATACAGTTACAGTGTACAGTAACTTTACAGAGTTTACAGAGCAATACAGGGGAACCGGAGAAGAAATTGGCACATTGTAGGGTGATACAATGCTCCCCTTATCTTCATTAGGGTGCTAGACACACAATATAAATATGTGCCAAGATACATTAAACTCAGCATCTGTAGATTGTCCAAACTACAATTAAACCTCATCAAATGTCAAGATATAAGTATAGAACATGCACCTACCACCACAGGAAATTTAAATTAAAAACTGAACTTATATCTGAATAAAGAGCAACCTCAATATACAACTAAGATGATTACTAAAAATTCGTCTCACAATACCTTATATTGTTATTCACAAAATTACCTTTTGCAAATACACTTAAAAGCAATTAATCCATATTCAATGATACCGTAAAACAGACGAGTTTGTTTACCTTTAGCACATTTAGCAATTAACTTATCACAACAGATTCACTAGAATGCTAAATCAGAAAGATTTCCATGGTGCGTAGTACTGAAAACTTAATACGATGATAAAATGGATTACTACCAAGTGACATGCTAACATTACTTAGTGTTTAAATGTGCCAGATGTTGTTCTAAATAATTTATCCATATTAACTTATCTCACGACAATCTACAAAAATATGTATTATTGCTATTCCAAATTCATAAATGCAGAAACTGAGAACACTGAGATTAAGTATTCAATCGAGATCACCCTGTCAGTCTGCCTGGAATAACAGTTTTTCTAAACCACTTTGTTCATATCTTTCTAGAAACTGTTTAGGCAAAAATAGAAGTTGTATGGTGCAGATTAGGGTTTTCAATAATTGCTTCATTTTCACCGATTACTTACTCATTTGTATTGCAGAGCAGTCCCAGAGAGATTTTTAAAGAACACTGGCTTTGCTTGTTCAGTACTAACAAAACTGGCCACAAGAATATTAAGTGACTCATACGTCTATACGATTAAGTTTCTTAATCCCATTTTAATGTAAAACTTTGTTCACCAATTTGGGGAGGAAGGAGGGAAGCAGAGGTAAGAAAGGACACCCAAGCAATATTAAAGGGGCAAAGGACCACTCCCATGATTCTTAGCAATTCAACATTATGGTCTAAGGACACAGACCTACTCAGGCACTGAAATATCAGGGACCACAGGTGCCATCCAAATGGGACTTGGGAGCCACCAGGGCCACAACTGGTGGTATTTAGGGGCCTCTAGGAATACACCCAGTGACACTCAGAGAGCATGTGGTAGGAGCAACCTAGGTTCAGGTCCCTGTACTATCTCTCTAGTAAAATTTTTAAGCGAGGGCATCCTAACTTAATTTCTCAACATGATATACCTAGAAAAGGAGCTCTATGGCTTAAAAAGCCATTCAGGGACAGTCTCTCCAAATACTAATCAAAGTTCTGGGTTCTGAAGCTGTAACTCTTATTTTAAGAACCTGAGAAATACAATTTCAGAAACTGTATGTTGTTTAATATCAATTTTCGAAATTTTTGCATGGGGGAAAGGCCTAAAGAACTAGTACAGTGGGCACTTGCATGAGGCTGACCCGGATTTGCTCTGGGCACTGCAATTGTTCCTCTGAGCAGTGGGATCCCTGAACGCAGAGCCAGAGGTAAGCCCTGAGCAGAGTCACATGAGGATCAAACACAAAAACAAAATTCTTAGATATTTCATAACATACCATTTTGCTGTACTTCCATACCTACTTCACACACAACCACTGAACTGCAGCCCTCTGACTGCAAACTCTGACCTACAGAAAAAGAACTGTCTGCCTCTAAAAATCTGCTATTCAAACCCCTTCAACAGCCTATTAGGAAAAATATTTCTGGATAACTGAACTGTTCAGGGATTTTGTTTTCTAACACCAAATTGCAATTTCAAGCTACACAACATGATTTTTTGTAAACTAGAAACAACACCATGAAATCTTTTATCCCAGTTACTACAGGAATGTTTTCTAAATTGCCTATCTGAAATGCTCTAAAAAGTTGTTTTCTTGACTAGCAAATTTTCTCAAGGATCTCAAAAATATATTTCCATTTATGCCCTAACAGGCAAAGAGCTAAAAATAATAATGATCTATGAAAGAACTAAGTTATGCATTACTTTATAGTCTGAAGATCTCTATTCTTTACTTTCCTTCTAAATTTTTTAAAGTTTATTTAAACTTTTGCTTTATTTAGAATTTTCTTCAGCACAAGTCTTAATCTAGAAGTTTTACTTCCCTTAAACTAATCTTACTTTTTTTAACCAATTTTCCAGAGCAATCAATTCTACTTTTTGTATCCTATCTCACTCTATTTTTGCCAATTTTTGTGGGTTTTTTTCTAATTGTGAGATATGTATGATTTATTACTAAGGTTCAATGCATATATTAGTGTTCTGAGCCATCACAATAACAGGAAACAATTTGAAAAGGGCATGAAAATAGTACTATAAACTATGTCCACTCTGGAGAAGTTTATGTTTTCTCTTGAACATGCCTGTATTCTCTCTTGAAAATCTTATCTCTCTCTAAATTTCTCTCAATAAAATCTATTTTTTTCTCTTAGCTAAAATAAATAGCATTAATCCTCTATGAACATAAAAAAAAGAGCCAGTATAAACTATTTATACTAGCAATCAACTCTAAGGATAATAAAGTATGATTTTGAGAATTTAAAACTAAAAACTACGAACCCTTAAAACTACAAACCCTTAAAACTACAAATATATGTGTGTATGTGTATAGGTGTGTGTGTGTATACATATATATGAAGCAAAACTAAGTCACACAAATCTAAACAATTAGAATGAGTGTTAATGGGGCTATCTTCTAAATATTAGATCCCATCTTAAAATCAAGAACACCTCTGAACTTAGGGTAAATCCTGTTAGTTATTTCTAGGTCTAGATGTGTTATATTCTTTATCTCTACCCAGGCTCCCTCTACTGACCAGAATATAAAAAAGATTACAAAATTACACTGGCAAATTTCATCAATATAAAAAAATTTCATTTCCAAATACTTCAAAATCAAAATTTTGGATAAAAGATTAAAGATTACTTCGCTATAGGGGCTGGAACGATAGTACTGTGGGTAAGGTGCTTTCTTTGCACACAACCAACTTAAATTCAATTCACAGCAACCATATAGTCCCCCAGCCCCATCAGAAATAATCCCAGAGCAAAGAGTCAGGAGTAAGCCCTGAGTACAGCCAGGTATGTACTCGGCTGCTATTAGCCGAGTTTTTGTTTTGTACGAAACAAAAACAAAAGATGATTTCACTACAAACCCAAGAAAAATAACTGCAAACTAACAATTGAAATAACACAATTTAAATGTGGTATATGTCCTTTCAATACGGTCATGGTCATGGTCAAGGTCCTCCCATTGTTCATCGATTTGCTCGAGCGGGCCCAGTAACATCTCCATCGTGAGACTTGTTGTTACTGTGTTTGGCATATTGAATACGTTACGGGGAGCTTGCCAGGCATACATTACTTTTATATGTTAATCTCTGAATAAAGGATTAAATTTTTTTAATTCATTATAACTGGGGAACCGGAAGACACTACTACCAGTTATTATAAGCCTGGGACCAGTATAGTGGTCAAGAGGTCCTCAGGGGCCACCAAGACTACAACAAGTGATACCTGGGGGACCATGTGGTACTTAGGATTAAACCTAGGGCCTTGCACAGACAAGACGTACTCTACCACTTAAGGACTGAGTAACATCCCCAGTTCTTAAATATTTAACAATTTCCCAGTAAAGAAATATTTACCTGAATCTGTTCTGGTGTCCATTGGTCTAGGTTGACTGACTTGACCCTGGATATATGAACCCCAAGATTTCTATGGATTCCAGCACATCTGATGCAAATAAACACACCAATATTCCAGGAAGCCCAACGGGGACCTAATTAAGGAGGGGAAAGAGAAAGAAAAGAAATAAAAAATTAAAATAAATATCTTGACAACATTTGGAGAAATATACCATGCTTTCTACAACAATTATAACGGGGGCATATAGAACCGACAAACTCAAATTTCCAAATGTAAAGCAGCAGCTTGCCAACAAGACATTTGGTTTGAAAAGGTAACTTTTAAGAAACTTAATGAGTTCACTAATTCTGACTTCCTGGAAATGTTCTCCCAAATCTAAGACTTTATGACGAATACATGTGAAGCTTTTACATGCAAGAATAAAAAAATAATAAGGAAACAGTGAAATAAGTTCTCTATTAAACAATGAATTGTTTAAATGGTTACTAACAAAAAGATTTTAAAGCCACCAGGACTCTTGTAGTTTTTTTTTCCAGTTCAGTTGTTTAGTGACCTACATTTCACATACATAAAGAAATTCAGTACTTTACTTTCACATTCTTATTTCTTTTAGCATGATCACCTTAAGAGCTAACCAGTTTGTCCCAAAAGATAGGATTTTTCATCTTTTTTATGGTAAAATACTACTCCATTAAGTATAGCTTTGGGGCTGGAGAGATAATACAGTGGCCTTGTGGGTGGCCCACCCAGGTTCAATCCCTGGTGTTTGGCCCTCCAAACACCACCCCAAGGAGCGCTTTCTGAGTGTAGAAACAATCCCCGAGCGTCCCCAGGTATGGGTCAAAAACAAAAAAGAAACAAACAAAAAGTATATATTATAGCTTCTTTGTCCAATTATCTGTTGAAGAATGTTAGCTGGATTTCACTTTGAAACTGATTTCAAAATATTTCATGTTTACACGAGAAATATATAATAAAATTTGATAAGTATGAATTTCAGTACGTTAGGTGGAATAAAATGATTTTAATAGGATCAAAACTAATATAACAAAAGAAATTATTGATGTCAAAAGCAGCTGATACAAAACTGTTGGTAAAATCATATAAAAATTAAGAATAATAAAACATGGGGCTGGAGTGATAGCACAGCGGGTAGGGCGTTTGCCTTGCACACGGCTGGCCCGGGTTCGATTCCCAGCATACCACATGGTCCCCCAAGCACGGCCAGGAGTAATTCCTGCATGAACCAGGAGTAACCCCTGTGCACCGCTGGGTGTGACCCAAAAAGAAAAAAAAAAAAGAATAACAAAATATGACATGACAGAAAATATGTAAGATTGCTAATCCTAAATTTTGTTCTAATATTACCCTAATTCTCAACAACATAACTCCAGGAAATATAGAAAATACTGCTTTGTTTACTATTCCCTGGATCTAATCATTAGCAACACAATAACTCTACTCCAAAATTCTAAAAATACTCTTAGCAATGTAATTCAGAAATAATGGTGTGGAAAACTGAATTAAAATATGATGCACCACCTGTATTACAAAGACTTAAATTTTACTACTTGTTAACAGGAAAGCACTAATTAAATATGAAAAAGGTTACACAGTTTAAGTTTGAATTAAGAAAACACAATGTATATAGAAAAACTAACTGAATAATTAGCAATACAATTTGACCAGTACTATGAACCTGCTTTCATTTCTCTTTTAAATAGAACCAATGGCAAGCGGAGCTCTCTGTACCATCCCATTAAACAACTAGACAATTCCTTCTGCAACAGTTTTAATACATCTGGTCCACATAAAAATACGCAGAAAGGCAAATCTTAAGAAGGGTTAACAGTAAACGTGACCCTCACTAAAAACAAAGAATTTACTATTATTAACTTGAAGTAAAAACCTGCTCTGTGTAGGGAAGGGGTGTTGTTTTCTTGGTGCTGGGGAGCAAATGCAGAGCATACATCAAAAACATGCACTACTGCTTTTTTACGCCCAAGATTTAATTATTTTATTTGTTTCTGCTGTCAGAATACAAGTTGGTAGTTATAACAGAGAATATTCTTGAACCACCAATGAATAAAGTAACCAAAAGAGCAGAAATTTTGACTCTGTATCAGGACCTGTGGTATATGAAGACCATCATCTCTATTCTCCAGTAAACACACATAACACAACACACAGTATTATAGTTAGAGAAAATATTATTCAAGAAACGTGTCTTCCAGTCAGACCTATGTCAACATTTTTTTCTCAATTTGTCTCTAAAACAAAAAAGTTCAAGGTCACTGCTGACTCTACCATTTCATTATTTTATGAATATGGATGCCCTTCCTAAACTTTAGCTGATCTGTGAAATAGTACTGAAAACAGAAATTTGATAGTGATTTAAAAAATGTTAATAATGCACAAAAACAAAGTATATTATATAATTAAGTAGCACTGTAGAACTCTCCTCCCATTGTTCATCGATTTGCTCGAGCGGGCCCAGTAACGTCTCCATTGGAGACTTTGTTGTTACTGTGTCTGGCATATCGAATACGTCACGGGGAGCTTGCCAGGCTCTGCCAATCGGGCGAGATACTCTCGGCAGCTTGCCGGGCTCTCCGAGAGGGGCGGAGGAATCGAACCCCGGTCACCCCAGTCAGCTGTGTGCAAGGCAAACACCCTGCCCACTGTGCTATCGCTCCAGTCCATATAATTAAGTATTAATTTTTAATAACAGTTTTGTATTAATATACCTAACTAAACATGGTAACTCGCCCTCCAGAGACTCAGTAGCTAAGATTTTTCATTTTAAGGGGCAAAGGACATATTTCCAAAAAAAGGAAGATAGTCCAAAGGTCTGGAGCATATACCTGTCATGCAAAAGTCCTGGGTTCAAATCCTGGCACTACAGGGCCCCCACAAGCACCACGGGGGTTACACAGGTGGCCTCCAACACTCCTGAGAATAAGGAGAACCAGGTTATGTATCCCAGGAGCAGCCCTGGCTTCTGGGTACTATATGGAAGACTCCCCAACCCAAGAAAGGAGTTTTCATTGTGATAACTGTGGCTCAATAATCAAAACTGGGCCAGAGAAATAGTATAGTGGGAATGACCTTGCATGTAGTTGAGTGGGTTTAGATCCCCGGGCACCTTATTTCATCCCCGAAGCACTACCACGAGTGATCCCTGAGTGCAGGCACAAGTAAGCCTAAGCACAGCAAGGTGTGGCCCCTAAACAAAATGAAACCAACAAACCCCAACAATAAATGTTTCTTAAAGAAACAAGACACTCCATTTTGCTGTCAAAATTTTGAGTTTTTTTTTGTTTGTTTGTTTGTTTGTTTAAAGCAGGGGTATCGCCTTAGTTGTTCAATCCTGCACTGTGACCTTGAGAGGCTTGATGGTGTGTTTTGTACATCTTGTTGACTTGTTTTGTACAGTTTGTTCCAAGTTTAAACCGCTAGGAATAATAGTGAATATTTAATATATCTTTTTATGTAAGTAAAGTAAAGGAAAGGAAAGGCCCTCCCGTTGTTCGTCGATTTGCTCGAGCGGGCCCAGTAACGTCTCCATTGGAGACTTTGTTGTTACTGTGTCTGGCATATCGAATACGTCACGGGGAGCTTGCCAGGCTCTGCCGTGTGGGCGAGATACTCTCGGTAGCTTGCCGGGCTCTCCGAGAGGGGCGGAGGAATCGAACTCGGGTCGGCCATGTCGGCTGCTTGCAAGGCAAACGCCCTACCGCTGTGCTATCGCTCCAGCCCAAAATTTTGAGTTTTGATTCCTGGTTTCTTTTTGTTTCTAATTATACCATTATCCAAAGCATTTCTGTCTTCCTGACCGAATCAAGTCATTCTGCCCCCGTCAGACCCTTATTTCTTGGTAAAAATTCCAAACAGACAAAAGAATAGCTCTTAAAGACAGACTTGGATTTAAATAACCAGACACTGTACAGACAAAGTGAACAAACTGAACCTCAGCTTCACAACAACAACATAAGGTGAGTTCATCTATACCCTTCAAGGTCTCTTGGCATTAACAGGCAAAGACATAAGCCCCTAGCATTTGTTTAAAAATACATAGTCAATTCTTGCCCCCTAAGACCATCTTGTCACTCCTTAACCACTCCTTAACCACTCTAGACTGTGCCCACCTGCAGCAGCATACTCTGATCAAGTGTGATTAAATCTTAAAGAAAACTGCCTTATACTAATATAAAATGCCAGGAGTTCAAAGGAGGAAAAAAGATCACTATGAGATGAAGTACTTGGAGGCAGCTTCATTCAAATGCAGGCTCAGGAACGCAGTTTAACTCTGAAGTGGGCCAGGGAAGATGGATGTGATTAACAATGATCAGAAATGACTTTGGAGGTTAACCATTCATTCTTGCATTGATTCAATGTCATAAAAACAAAAATGTGCTGAATCCTTACTATGTGCCAAGAATTTTCTCGATGCTGGCTATCCAAAAGGAAAATAAAACATTAAAATGCCTTCCCTTATAAACTACATATTCCAGTGAAGCAAGGCAGATAACAAGTTATATATGTATACCAGGTCAGGTGGTGATCGAAGCTGTGAAGAAAAGAAATCAAATTCAATGGTTTAAAAAAAATAAAAACAGGAAATGCTTAGGAAAAAGATGAGATGCTATGTCAAACAGAATCCACTCTGATAAAATGGCAATTGAGCAGAGCCCTAAAACAGAAGTCAGTTAGACAGACACCTGAGAAAATGATTTCAGACAGAGAAAATAGCAAGCACAAAAGCCCTGAGGTTATTTCAATAGTAGACATGGAAACACATAACATGTTTGATCAATAGCTCCTAACTGAAACCAATAGATGAATCACACAGATGAAAATACAGGCTACAGATAGTGTAAACTCTAACAAAAGATATTGCCTTGACTTCCAAATTTAATTTTATACCATTACCATGGAGTCACTGAACAATTTTGAAAAAAACAATAAAATGAACAAAATCACATCTATAATATTTAATTTATTCAGTTTGTGCTTCTTCATGACCTATGAACAAAAACTTTCCAAAATCTTTTCTTCACCTTTAATCTCAATGTAACAAGTTTAAACATAAAGTAGAAAAGTTAAAAAACTAGTGTCAATATGTAGAGTTGT